TCGTATTCAGGAGGGTAATCAGAAGAGCAACCAAACGGAAAACCCAGGGCATACGGTGTAAGCTGGCCTGCCGACAAGACCATGCGGCCCGTACGTCAGCCCACGGGTCCCGACTGGTAAGTCGATCAGTCGCGCGATTTAAGGCGCTTCCGTAAAGAAAAAATAACATAAATTCTGCAATTTTAGAGTTCGCAAAAAAAGTAATACTTAAAAATTGTACAAATGTTAGGACTACAAGAGGTGAAATATATTATTTTACAAATTATAATATACCAGTATACAGTGTGTCCCGGATCGGATTGCCAATAGGAAAAACTTGTTTAGACCTGATACACCTAAACCGAGCACGGATTTGGAATCTACGACCAAAAATTATGTTTACGTGTCCGAGCTGTGATATTTCAAGAGTTTTAAATTTACATACAGTGTAATTAATGCAAACTGCAACCGCATCTTTCCCCTCCCCATAATGCTTTATTCCTTAAAAAAAATTAAGATCTGATAATAATAACTTTCAGCAAAAGGCCAGAACAGAAAATCAGTTGAATTTGAGAACAATGTTTAATAATGATCCCAACTGTGCTAAAAACTGTTTCAGTATAATTAATTGGTCACTGAATTTGGTGATGTAAATGTTTAATTCCCGAGCTTCATCTGCTCAAAGGCTTTGTCAACCATTTGTTTTGGAAAGGTTTAGTACTTCTTCTTGGATGAGAAACTGCTTTAGATTGGCCTAAAAAATTAAACCTTGTTTCCAAAAATTGCCAGGGTGAGATTTTTGAAGGCAATGCTTGCAGAACTTTATTGAAACATGGTAATGATCTTCTATCATTGAACACTATGTCGCTGCGTTTAATGCATTCAAAAAAATTGATGACAAAATCCCAAACTATCAATTAGGCTTTAGCAGATTCACACTACATCGTCTTACTCATGTCATATCAAACAATAAAACAGCCAGAATAAATAACTTATTCGTCGCAGCTCTGTTTCTATATAATAAAAGAGCATTTGACATGGACATGGACAAGGGTTTAATCTACAAGAAGATTGGATTCGATAACTAGTTTATTATTTAAATAAGTATCTGAAAAACAGACCTCTCTATGTGTGTCTCAATGGTTAAAAATCTTTTCCTTTCATTGCCAAACAAGGGGTTCCACAGGGTTCTTTCCTAACTATATTGTACATCATATTTTGCTTTGATAAATTTTACTGCCAAAGGGAGCAAGCTAAGTTCAACAATATGCAGACGACACAGATTTTTTTGTGCATCAAAAATCACACCAGCTGACCCAAGGGGTAAACCACTGATTTAAAAAAATTAAAAATCGCCGAATAATTAAACATGCTCTTTTTGAACATCAACAAATGGCATAAAGATTGGAGACTTAATATTAATGCTAAAAAATCCACTAAAAATCCACATAATTTTTCATCGTAACAAAGTAAACAATCAGCAATTCACAATTAACAACTCCCGAAATGAAAGTATAACATGCTTAAATTTATTTATTACGGAAATACCCGAGAATCCGAAGACTTAGAAAATACAGGGAATCACATTCTTAGGAATAAGTAAATATATAATAATACTCTCAGTCTTATTTGTGCTTTACTCCAATAAAGTCTATTGTGCTATTGGTAATTTGTTTAATTAACTGCCCTGTATTTAACAGGTTATGGACCCAGTTTAACGTTTAATATTTGTTTTAAAATAACAGTGATATTTTTGTGAAACACAATAAAAAGAAACATTCAACCATTGGATGGTGCAAAATATCAGGTGTGGAAATTTCGAATCAAGGGATTATTAAAAGAAAAAAATGTGCTACAGTGTGTGGGGCAACCAATACCAAATAAAATTACTAAACAATGGACGCAGCAAGATACGATTGCAAGTAATATTTTATTCGAATATTGTGCAAGAAGAAAATTACAGTTTTAACATATTAAAAAAATTGGATAGCATTTACGAAAGAGTTTGGCGTCGCAACTGGCAGCATGTAAAAAATTTAACTTAAAACTTCACCCAAATCAAACTTTACTGCAACATTTCATGATATTTGATGAAATGGTATAGGAATTGCTATCTGGGGCCCGTTTCACAAAAGTAACAAGTTACAAAGTCACCAGTAAAATTTAACCAATCTGTAATAAATCAGAAGTACTAGTGTTTCACGAAGACAACGTTACAAGACTTGTAACAACCAGCGAATTTTCACTACTTACAAGTAACGTTTTTATAGAATTACTCTTGTAGTTTTAGGTATTGTCACAAGTTACAACTTTACGCAGGTGAAAATAAGCAAAAATTTTCACCCACATCTAGAGGTTTGTAAAATCAATTTATTTGTGTATTTGTGGTGTCAAATATTAAAAAGTATAATGTGGGAATCATCATCCTCTGAAGATGAATTACTTGAACAACCACGCCGTCATCGAAGACCTCGGACGTTTAGGTTAAGAACAAATTTAAATTTTGTCACCTTTTACGAGTTCAATGAGAGATTTCGAATGTCATCAGTCAACATGGAATCTCTTTTTGCAGACATAGGGCACATACTTCAACATGCCACAAGAAGAAGTGAGGCCCTATCAGAAAGAATTCAATTGTGTGCAGCTCTCCATTGGCTATTTATACAAATGATAACGATTGGAATAATGGAAATAAATTGAACAAAAATGAAATCGTTTTTGTATTGGATTCGGGTGCCAGCGAGCTCATGGTAAATCTATTGCTTTATTATTGATATCGCTCTATTTAACGTTGATTTAAATATTGCATTAGTTTTCTACTTTTAAAACACTTAAATAAATAAAAAATACCAAGAAAATGTTGCGTTCCTAAAAGACAACAGGAAAACAAATATATTATCGTATATAATACCACTAGTGGTAAAATTTTATCGATAAAATTTTTGATTTTTATACGAATGTTTTTTTCTTGGAAATTTCGCAAGTGGCATTAATTTTTAAGACCACGAGCCGCTAGGCGAGTGGTTTGAAGTTAATGCCACGAGCGAAATTTCCAAGGAAAAATCTTGAGTAAATAAAAATCAAAAATTTTTTCAGGGAAAATTTTATCACGAGTGGTATTCGGCAAGACTATTTCACGAATATTTTTAACTGCTGATTCAATTTCTGTATGATTTTTTGGACCAAAACGCATATTTTTTAACATTTTAATTTTAAAATTAAAAACGTCAACAGTGACAATTATTTTTATCATAGCAACCAATTGGTTGTTATGCAACTCGTATAAACGAGTGGTTTTTTCACCTGAATAGTAGTTTTATCGCTGCAAAACTGAAAAAACCACTCGTTTTCTGAAATCTGATTGGTCCAAAAAGTAATGAGTGGAATAGTCGCGGTAATGCAAGACAGCCTCTTTGGGCAAAAAACACTTACTGTTCCTTTTTTATTCAGCAGAAAAAAATTTCTTTGTCAGTACTATATAATAAATTACCTACAATATTTTTTATAAAAACAGTTTTAAGATACTTGCATATGTAATAAGCCGACACACTTGCAAAAATAACTAGCGTCATGGGTAACGTATTTTTATCTAATTACAAAAAACTGGGAAATAATAGCTGCAAGAAAACAAGATGTTAATGCGCCCTGAAAACTAAAAAGGGCGCATTAACATCTTATTTTCTTACATCTATTATTTCCCAGTTTTTTGTAATTAGATAAAAATACGTTACCCATGACGCTAGTTATTTTTGCATAGGCTATGTTTTAAATAAATTACTATTTTAATAGCAGTTCTATGTTTGTTATAAATAAATTACTATTTTAAGAGCATACACAAAAAAATATTTATTTATATTAAATGACCAACATTTGTATGGTTATATACATACTTGTACGCAAAAATATTATACTCTTAATTCAAATCAAATATAAGTTTACTTGTGTTTATTTTTAAATAAAATCTATTATGCTTTTTGAAAACATCTTTAAATGAATATATTAATTTATTTTAAGTTAATCTTAATATTTAAAAAAGTATACATTCTAAATTTAAATACAAGAAAATGTAATTGAATTATTTAATTATTCTTAATAGTAATAGATAAATTAAACTAATTTTTTGTATAAAATTAAACTTAAGAAAATTATTATTTAATATTCCAAAATTTAATTATAAAAATTAGACTAAACTTATTTAAAATATACAAATCCAAAACAATCGTTATTTTAAAAATACAGAATTATTTTTTGTGTGCAGTTCTCTTTGTTTTAAATAAATTACTATTTTAATAGCAGTTCTCTGTTTGTTTTCAATAAATTACTTAGTACATATTGTTCTGTTGATTTTGATAGAATATGTACTCATGCATTGTCCACTGCTTTAGTAAAAAATACTCCTTAAAAGCAATAAAAATACATAACTTTGGTTCCAACGCAATGTAATACAATAGGCTTACGTTGATCCGATCGGCCTCCTGACGTCACAGTTTTGATGCAGGAGTGGGGACTACACTCTCGCCTGGTATAGAGAACGCCGTGCACTAGGATATTGGAAGTAACCGAGTTTATTAATTAATTTGCGCTAAAATCGATATCTAGACCATAATGCGGCGTAAGGATTCAATATATTTAAATGTGCAATCGGCGACAATACTGGCACATTTTTTTAACTCAAAAGCCAGTATTTTAAGCAGAAAAATATATATATATATATATAAGGATAATCTACTGTCCGTTCAGTTGAGAGGTCTAAGGAATGTCACCCCGTCCATCATCTTGTTCAGGCACAATTAAATACATGTATTTCGGTAGCCGCTCTGTACGAACAAACGGCAAGCCCCGGCACTGATAAATCATCTTCTTGTTACCGAAATCTCGCGACGATTCGATATTTAATTTAATCAACGGCCACATGATCCCCCACCAAAGCGCTCAACTTAGCCTGAACGGACTGTATAATATACAGTGTATATGAATCTAAAGGTATTAGTATTTAGGTATTACAAAAATGTTTAACTTACTTGTTCTTTTTTCCGTAATCCGCCAAAATAAGATCCTTAAGTTGCACTTCAACTTTAATCCATTCATCGTCAGAAAGCGTAGGCCAAATATGATGCGGCTCGGTAATTGTGGTTTTGTCTGGTTTAAGAATAACCTTAGTTCTTTCTGTATTGACGTGTAATGCCCTTAATATCAAAATCAACCTGGAGAAGGCGGTGTAAGACGAAATGGTCTTCAACCAATCGTCGTAAAGATTGAACAGAACCATCTGAGGTTCGGTAGCTTTCAAAATCAAATCGCCGAACTTTTCTATCTTGAGGCAAGCCTGGAAAGGCAGTTGTAGTTCGGATCCTTTGATAACGATGTTGGGGAAATCAAGAAGATGCACTTCAAGAGGATCCAACATTCCTTTTCTGGTAACGATGATTTGTTTGGGTTGTTCTTCTACGGGAAGCGAACGAATTAGAGCGGCTACTTCTTCGGCGGTCTTCCATTTTGCCAACTGTAATGCAAGAATAATAACTTTACAGAAAAACATAGTAAAAACTATTAGTCAACAATTAAATAAATCTTTAGTTTTAAAACCCTACAGTTGAAAGATAACACTTACTTGTCCCAAACGTTTTTGTCCGGCCCATACAGAAGTATGAATAATTTTCAAGAACAACTGTCCAGTTCTGGGGTTAAAAATAAATATAGCGCCATTGATTGGCTTCGTCGTCAAATTTCCCTCAAAAGTCTTGTGGATGGTGACACGGTACACATTGGTGTCATCAACGAACCAAATGATTTGATTCGAGAACAATTCTCCGTAATTTTGACTCGACAAGTAGGGTTCAGTAGGTTCACTAGAGTACAATTGGAGAGCTTTACGGATACGCTCTCTTAATACATATAGCGCGGGGTTCGCCTTCATTATTTTTGCCATCGCCTGTTGAATCAAAGGTTTGCAACCAGGGAACCAGTTTCCGTAGGCGCTGTGCAAGTTGTAGGCCAAATCTATGGCGATCAATACACCAGTTGGTGATGGATAGATGGACATGTTGTCTGTGGTGTAATCCAAGAATTTGGCACGGGCGTAACGCTCAACGTCATGGGAATCGTAATCACCCCATCTCAGTTGCACGTCTATCCAGTATTTTTGGGTGGTTGTGTTGTCCATGGTATCTCTATAAAAAAACAATTTTAATTTAGTAGAAATCAATTTAATTTAGTCAAATGTTAAAACGTACTTTGTGTCTGCCAGTAAGGACGGTCTGGATACATTCCATTTGTAAGCAGAGAACAGTAAAATATCGGCACAAGACGAGTTCATTTTGTATGACTTTCTGGGATGGATTGTTTCTTTTTGAACTGTTTCAATTTCCAAAGCGTCCAATTCTTGATCAAAGACCTGACAAAGATCCATGACTATCGACTCATGGACCTTCTGCCACAAGTGAGCCCTGAATATTTGAATCAAAGAGATTTTGAGAGTTGGAATTTTACCGTGCATAAAAATACCGGTCAAATCGAGTTGTACCTGAAATCCAACGTAAACGTTGGCCCTGTTAATTGTAGGTGACCACCAAAGCGTAAATCTACGATTGGGAATCTGGTTCAAACCGGATCTTTGGGCGTTGGTGAGCTTTTTGTACTTCATGGATTCCTCAAAACCAGAAGCCTTTTCCCAGAAAAGACCTTCCCAAGTGGGAAAATATGTACCTTTGAACAAAGTGTGTTCTAGAATACCTTCAACACCTCCCAACGCTTGAATCATGTCTGTTCTGTAGTTATTCAAGTTCCAAAGTTTGCCATCGTGTCTTTGGTGAGTCCACCAGAACGGATTCTGTTTCAAAACTTGATACTGCTTGAACTCCGTTCGGATTCTCCAGCCCTTGTCGTAAGCCAAGGTGTGCCTGTCCTTCTGGAAGAGCGTGTTTATCCTGGGAATACCGCGATCCCAGGAATCTTCCAAATCTTCCAATGTCAAACGCCTGTTTTGCGCATTTGCTTCCTGTCTTTTGAGTGCGTACTCGGCCCAGACACGCTGGGAGTCGATAAACTCCGACTCCCACGGCTGTATGTAACGATACAAATTGGGAATTAGCTGGTCCTCGTCGTGGCTCATACCTGAACGAAAATGTGTGATGCCAACGTCGGTCTGTTTAGACCATCTTAAATCGGACTGCGGAATTAAAACGTGACCCATCGACAACATACCCAACCCGCCCAATTCTTTGGGAGTATAGAACACCACGGGCGGGAATCTGCTGGGCATTTTAGAGTTAAGACCGATTTTGATACGAGTTTGAATTTTGTTCTCGCACTTTACCAACAAGTCTAGCAGTTCTTGCGTGTTTACCACAGCTTCTCTAAAATATGTCATTAGACCTATAAGGGCTGTGTTCCATTTGTTGACGATCTGAAAAAAATATGAGACTGATAAACTTTAAAACAATTAATATAATTGTTTTTAGGTCGGGGAATAATTCAAATAGAGTGCTTTTGTTATCTTATGGAGTTTGACCTTGAGTGCGCAGAAATCTTAAATTAGTCCAGTCCTGCTAATACTCGCCGACCTAAAAACAACTGTCAATCTAATTGTCGAAAAAACAGATTGCATTGCTCATTTTAACCAATTTATTAGTAATATAACCTACGTAAAAACGCATGTTTTTAGTTTTCATTTATTAATGAACAGTGACGGACACAGAATTTTGAACGTCATAATTAGGTTGTCCATATTTAAATCTGTTTAAATAGCAAAGATTGACCATTTTTGCTTTCGCTGTCAAAATGTCAAAACTAGGGATAACCGGAAGTAAGGTTAGTTGTCCATAAAGGAAGTTTTGATTTTGATGTCAACGAAATGATAGTCGTTCAAAATTCACGGTGTCCCTGAATAACTTTTAATTGAAAGGTTCAGACGTATCCGATTTTTTTTCATATTATGATAAAAAATCACTTAAAAGACAATTTTTTTTCAGGGTAAACTCAATTCGCTTGGCACTTTTTTAGAAAAATCAATTTTTATAAAAACATTAATGATTTTTAATCAATTTTTTGAGAATTTTAATTAGTGAACTCCAAATAATGCTGTTAGTCATTTTAATGTATTTGTTACATAAAATGTGCAATTCATTAGACTAGTTAACTATTGACATATGTCACTTGTCACATGTCACATGTCGAAATCGTGATTGAAAATACCGTTGCGTTATTTTACCGTTTTTTTTCCAATTTGTTTCAGATTTATTTATAAATTAAATATAAATAATTATATTTGCATTGATTATAGTATATAGTGCAATGAAGCTAATAAAAAACCATGCATGGACTCACTTGGATAATCGCGAGAGAATTTGTTTGTTTTGTCTTATAAAAAAGGAAAAAGAAAAAATGTCTAAAATATGTGGAAAGATTCTGGAAAAAGTTCAAAGCATAGCTTTAAGTCCGAAACATTAGCATCAGTTACTATCGCTCTTTTAAAAAAAGAAAAAAGAAAGAGCGATAGTAACTGCTACTGATGTTTCGGACTTAAAGTTTCACTAATATCGTTTTCAATTTTTTCTTCTTTTACTCAAGGTTTACATTTATGTTTTAACCGCGGCCACCAACAATACTTGACAAACATTTGAAACATTTTCTCACCACACGCATTTTTTCTTTTTTAATGGGTTTATTTTTAGCACTTTTTATAAAATTATACCCAATTATTTCCAATTAGAAAAATCAGGCAAATTTAACGTGTTTCTATAAATTTCTTGTTTAGCTGCTTTATATAATAAATTTCACAACCTTTGCATACAACTTTTGGTAATCGTTCATCTTCTACATCATATACTACTATGCTTTGAACTTTTTCCAGAATCTTTTTCAATTTCAATTTTTTTTAAGACAAAACAAACAAATTCTCTCGCGATTATCCGAGTGAGTCCATGCATGGTTTTTTATTAGCTTCATTGCACTATATACTATAATCAATGCAAATATAATTATTTATATCTAATTAAAATAAATAAATAAATAAAGTTTTTATTGCATATTCAGTACAATACAGAACATATAATAAAAAATATACAAAAGGCCATCGACCGGGGCCCTTCAGCCTGTTACAAACTACTTTAAGTGATACAAAAAAACTAATTATTATTAGACAATTGTAAGATTATTTCCAATATTGTATTTTCCGGGAATTTTGTGGAATTTTCATCGACTTCTCTGGTGATGCATAATTTTTATAGTATCACAATGTTGTGATCCTTAGCAGCAAAAGATTTTTTAATCTTTCAAGAATTGGAACTTTGATTTTTAATGTTTGATAAAGAAGGCCGTTGGGAGGATTGTGAAGAGGGTTTAGGGGATGGCGGACTTTGGAGATTGTTCTTAGGGCTGTTGTTTCCGCAGTTGCAATATTATTTAGGGCTGGTTTTCGACAGTTTAGTAAAACTGGGTGGCAGTATTCCAGAAGGGGGCGGCAGATGGCTTTGTACACGATAGCTGCAGTTTTCATATTTATTCCACCCCATCTGTTGGTTAGTCCTGTAAATAGTTTGACTCTTGCGACTGTTCTTTGTTTTGCCGTTTGGGTATGGAGATTAAGATTAAGTTTGTTATCTAGCTGTAGGCCCAGGTATGTAGTGTTGTTTGCGGGTGCGTTGATGCGTTGATTATATAGTATCAAATGTGGACTCTGAGGGTTAATTTTGTGGTTAAATATATCGAACTTAGATTTGTTTGGATTTGGTTTTAATCTCCATTTGTTGAACCAATTTTCAGTTTGGTTTATTATGTTTTGCAGGTTCTCCACAGACTTTTTCAGAGTTTTCTCATGAGTTATTAGGGCTGTATCATCGGCGTATTGCAGTATATACTGAGTGGGGGTGGTTTGTCGGAAAATATTAGAGCAATATAGGTTATATAGCAATGGGGAAATGGGGGATCCTTGTGGAACTCCTTGAAAATTTAAAAAGTCAGGGAAATACACGTTGTTGATTTTGATTCTAAGTCTTCTGTTTTCCAGGAATTGCCTTACAATATTTATCAATGTCTGGGGACCTTAAGGAGATGTAGTTTGTAGAGAAGGCCTTTGTGCCACACGGAATCAAAAGCCTTGTTAATGTCTAAGAACAAGGCAGAAGAATAAAGTTTTCTTTTTTTTGCAGTTTGGACATTTGAAACCAATATGGAAACCGGATGTGATGTGGATAATTGGGCTTGAAAACCAAATTGAAAGTTCGGAATTGCATTTTTTGTAGTCTCTTCAAGGAGTAATCTGATGATTTTCTCGAATAATTTGGATAAAAAAGGTAATAACGTTATTGGACGGTAGTTGCCGACTTTGGTAGGGTCTGCTCTACTTTTGTGAAGGACTACAATATCTAATTTATAAATAAATCTGCGACAAATTGAAAAAAAAACGGTAAAATATCGCAACGGTATTTTCAATCACGATTTCGACATGTGACATGTGACAAGTGACATATGTCAATAGTTCACTAGTCTAATGAATTGTACATTTTATGTAACAAATACATTAAAAGCTGTTAGTCATTATTTGGAGTTCACTAATAAAAAATCTCAAAAAATTGATTAAAAATCATTAATGTTTTTATAAAAATTGATTTTTCTAAAAAAGTGCCAAGCATTGAGTTTATCTTGAAAAAAAATTGTCTTCTAAGTAATTTTTTATTAAAATATGAAAAAAATCGGATACGTCTGAACCTTTCAATTAAAAGTTATTCAGGGACACCGTGAATTCCGTGTCCGCCACTGTACAAATTGAGCAACTTCCTTCAAGGTCACCCGCCATAAGATAATAAAAGCCCTCTACACAGCCACACAAAATAACAAAAATGTGCGGTGCGAAAAAAACGACCTACATAGTATTGCAGTATTGGTCGATATTAGTCGAAATCCAATTTTTTTTAATTTTGTGTTTTTTTATTATATCCTCAATTTTAACAAACCCTATACTACTGGGACTGTGCTACACCATGGTGCGGGCTCACCTGGAGTATGGTTAAAAAACAAAAGACCAAACAATACAGGGCGCTAAGAGCCATCACAGGACATCTTACACCAACAAATGTTATCGAGGCGGAATGTGGAGAAATAAGCATAGGGAAAAGAATACAATGGCTAGCAACAAAGCTACTACTAAAAAATGCAAGATACTTTTATAACCCACTTAGAAAGTCAGTGGCCGAACTGGAAACATATATGATTACGCCATACTGGAGAAGAAAGAGCACCTCGTTTCTTGTTTCCAGAGTAAAAAACATAAGCTCATTCCAAATCAAATAATGGGACAAATTATCATGCTTCTCAGTCGCATAAGAGCACCAAATAACCCCTATAAAAACAACAAACCTAAAATTGGAAAAACACGATTTTAACAGCAGCACAAAGTTCAACGCTGAATTTTAAAAATATATACAAAAAAGTTTATATACAAAAGTGCTCTTTTAGTTCCACCCTTACTTCTTAAGAAGTCCCATAAGCCAACTGAATGGCTTGTGCGGGTTAGGGGTAGGAACGAACCGCGGGCTTAAAGTCCCCTCCGAAGGACTAATACACAATAGGACAAACACAAATAAACAGCCATACCCCTGGTGGGATTCGAACCCACGACCTCCGGCTTGTAGTCAGCATGCACTAGACCACTAGACCACCGTCGGCGGTATATAAAACAAATAATTACAATATACACGGATGCGTCTAAACTCAAAGAATCGACAGGCTGCCCAAAACGAATATGATATATGCAGGCCGCCCGCTAAACTTCGAATTTCAAATAGTAACAAAGTAACCTCCATTTAGTTTAAAAAAGTAGCCAATAGTAACCTAATAAAACAAAGGAAAAACTGTAATATTAATAAAAATATTTTAAACGTAATATAACAAAACTCTTATCACAGATCAAATTATTGTTAATCTTATAAGGCATCGTGCATAAATGATGATGGGGGGAGGTTAACAAATTTTTGACACTCTGTGACCAATTCACTTGACATCGTTTATTGACAATACAAAGCAAAAATTACTGGGTAACCAGAATCTAGTTTGGGCTACCGTACGTGAATAAATATTGTATCAAAAAATACAAAATAAAAACAAAACAAAAGCATTCTATAAAAAAGCTTATCACTAAATAAAATATTGTTTATCATATTAAAACATTATTTTTTTTGCTTCTTAATGGTATCAGAGACCACTGAAGTTTTCCTCTTGCAAAATGTGCTAGTCATTTTATCTGCGTCTTTTTGCAATTTATTTTCATTTGCTCTTTTGTGCAATGCAGAAGAAAGCATGGCTTGCGCAACTTTATGTTCAACTAAATCTTTTTCGTTCAAAAAGTCTCTTCAAGAAAAACGATTATTTTATAAAACCTGATGACATTTTTTGAAAAATATTAATATA